AAAGGATTTTCCAGATAAGAAAAGTAACTTTTATTGCCACCCTGATTATACGCATTACAAACAACATGGAATGAAAATAGGTTTGGGTTCCATAAAACTCTGCTCTACCTTTAATTCTAAAGGAGAATAACACACCCTGTTCAGTTTCTTAAAACCTTTGCTCCATGCTTAGCGTTCTGCTCTACAAATAAACAGCCCTGTTCCATCTTTACCAATATGCAAATTGTTATGAAAAATATGTGTGGATTGTGCACTTGAGTGAAAGCACGATATGACTAGTTTCATACTATACATATGGTATGCCTGATTTTAAATCAAAATCAAGAAGAAAAAGGTTGGAGAAATAACACAAGAACTTGGTGCAAACAGTGACTTTGCCTTAGTCCTGACTTCCATTACATTTTTTAGTTACTGTTTGGAAATTATCCAACTTAATTCAGAAGTATGTAGCTTATTTTGTGAAATCCCAAGTTTCTTTTCAAGGGAATAACTGCTTGTTTTTAAAGAAGTGAAATAATATAATGGTATTTAATTATACCACAGTTCAGAAAGTGCTTTTATTTTTTTCCTTTAACTGAAGAGTCGTTCAGCCTCTATCTCAATGAACTACAACTTTATAGTTTGGAGTGTAAGCAGCCAGTGTGACTTCATCAGCATAACTGTTAAAGAATTGTTTAACAGTTAAGAAAAGAACACCATATTTAGTAAAATACGGGAGCATTTTAGAAAGAGATTAACCCACTATCATTTTAGGATAGAAAAGATAAAAACATGTGTTTAACAAGTACCTGGAATGTTTAGTGGTACTGTACTAGATATTAACCCATTGTTTTAATATAACTTATGATTAATTTTGCAGATTTCAATTAATATTTTAATTAGCACACATTCAATCTGCAAGCCTGAGGCAACTGAATTAAGATTTCTTCCACAATTGTATTTGTGATGAAAAAAGACAAGTTTACTGTTTTAGTGCTTCCATGTCTTGTATGTGGAATATTTCCTTTAGGGACAAATTCAAAAGAAAGATAGAAAATAAATGAACATTTTATTTTATCATTTCCAAAATTACTGAGATCAGATAGGTATCTTTTTGCTTTGTAAATTCTTTGATCTTGTTTTGAAAGTTGGAAAATGTTTAAAATAAATCAGAACATTCAGATCAAAAATGTTTTGTTTGACCTAGAAGATTGTTCAACTTTTACCTCTGATAAATAGCACTAATTCCGAACAAAATTCCTTCAACAGACCACAGCAAATTAATTTTTAATTAATCTATCTGAAATATTGATAACTTCAGGAAAGTGAAATGTAGTTCTACATAGAGAATTTGTAAAGTGCTTATTTGTTTTCTATTCTCATAGAAGAATAAGTATGAAAGTTTTATGGTACTGTATGAGCCCCTCCCAAGTAGGTAAGCATTTGGGGCTTTTTTGTATTATTTTGGTTTTGGTTTTGTTTTAGTTTGGGTTTTTTGGGTTTTGTTTTGTTTTCTTTTTTTTTTTGTTTTATGTTTTGCTTTTTTTTTTTTTTTTTTTTTTAATAAGAGAAAAGTATCTCAATTTTAAAGTAATTCAATTTCTGTAGTTCTGATATGACTGGTCTGGCTGATTCTCAAGTAAAATTATTTCTGTGATTCATTTACATTTTATGATTACTCATGATTTCCTGCATAGTTTCCAATTCTCTCTGTGACTCCACACATAAAATAAATAGCATAAATAAAACAGCATGACAAAATCATTGTTTGTGTATGTGTTCAGTTCATTCTGTTTGTAACACTGGGCTGAGATATAGGATATTATTTTCCAAAAGGAAAAGTGCCATCTACTGAATCACCAAAACCAATTTTTGCAGCATCTTGAGAGATTTTCCTGAGAGATGTCATTTCCAATTCCTGATCAGTCCAAGCCATACTCAACTTGTGAGCTTTAATGAGATCATAGCTGGGAATGGTACGGTTGAGTGCCACATTACTTCACTAAGTATTCATTTAATGAGTGTTTTGGTTCTGATTGGGTGGTTTTTTTTCTGGATTAAAAAGTGTTAGTGGAAGACCAGTGAACTGCACTTTTAAGGTCTTAAACTTATACGTCCAAAATAACTTTCTGTTTCAAGATTTCTGGGGAGGCTTCTTGTATATCCTCTGCATCTTCTTAATGGCCTACAGAGGTCATACTTCCAGAAAGGAGTTCTACACTCTTCTGTGATTAGCCATTTCAGGTTTGGTGAAAGTACAGACGGAAAGACTACAAAAAAAAAAATATACTGGTAACTCACTGATAAATATTTTCCTGGAGAAACAGAAGCAAAAGAACAGACAACTAGTAGATAACTTTGCTACGGGACACTACCTATCTGTGAACTAAGACACAGTTTAGCAAGATATAGCACATTTTTTAAAGGCATAAAATTGCTTTCAAGACCAATAGGACAATGAAATTTACTCAGGACTTAGAAGAGTTGTCAGGTTTTTTTCAGGGATAAGCAGTAGATACTTAGATGAATGCGAAATATCAGCCACTTTGTAATCCTACACTGCTTTTAGTAGAATGTCACTACAAAAGTAGAGGGACAGGTGAAGTGGACAGTTTATATCTTCAAAAATTCGGGAAATCTGCAAACGTGGTCGCAGGATTAAGAAAAGCGGATAACCACAGGATTATTGGTAAAGTCTTGTCATGACTTAGAACTAACTAATGAGGTAGGAATCAAATTTCCGTTCTTAAAACAAAAATATTGAGCAGTGAGAGGTGCCAAGGTTTTATACAGAGTCCATAAAAAAGTAAGCAATTGGGTAAGAAAAAAATTTGTCTCATCATGAATGCTCAATTAGGCTAGACGAAATTTAGAGGGTCTGTAGCAGATCTGGTAGTAATTTTATGACAATGTCTATGATTTCTACAGCAAGGTAGTAGAAACCGTCCCTTACCCATTTAAGCCATGTTCTGTATAGGTATGTACAGTGTATTGTTATAGAACAACATTAACTTCTGTCAGAAGTTCTGTTTCTCTAATTATAAACTGGATATATGTCAGCTACTGCATGGATAATTTCCGTGATAGCTTTTCATAAATGTCTCAATTTTTTTTCTTTTCATATAACGCCTTTGAGGAATAGTATTCAAACATTAATTAAAACTTACTCAGCAACTTGTGGGTTGCTTTCTTCCTAATTTAGCGGTGACTGCAGTTTGTAAATTCAGACTCGATTACTTAGCTAGCTTCAAAAATCATATGATGTTGTTGCTCATACAGAAACGGTTAAGCAAAAATAACCATCAGGAATGCTTTTGAAAGTCAGTGTTGGAAGAGCTTTTGCTTTGGTGCGAGGTAAAAAAATCTACCATGAGCCTTGAAAGTCAAGAGGAAAGACATGGGCTCTTCTTGAACAAGGCCTCCTTGAAATTGTCTAAAAGGTCTGTGAGACGCTTATGAAAAAAAAAAAACAAAAACGACCAATATATGCCCACTAACAAATGATTTCAGTTGAGCACAGCAGGTTTCATAGTGGTAAAAAGTGGAAAGATAATTGTACCTAACCCAAGACAGTAAAAGGTGCTGTGCTGTCAGCCCCTGCCTTTTCACACCCTGGTCTTACACCCTTCCCAGGGACAAACAGGTCATCACCGAGTGCGATTTTTGCCATGTGCAGACACACTGCTCTGGGCAAGGTTTCTGCTTTTCCCTGCCTGCTTTAGCTAGGTTAAAACATCTCAGACTGCCAAAACTCTGCGAAGCATTTACCGCGTCAAAGTCAGTTGCAACCACGCAGGGCGATCCTCAAAGCCGGGCTTGGCAGCGTGCCCTCTTCTTGCTGTTCAGAGGTAGTGGGAGGTAGAAATACCTAAACTGATTCCTTTCACCTGAACGTGCCACCTTTTTGCAGTGAGATGAAAAAACATCAGAGGTGAGTGATACCTAGCAATCTCTTCCTTTTGCCCCACAGACTGGTCTCTGAATAACCCTAGGGAAAGTTCAAATGTAGCGCTGGCCTCTACTTCAGAGAAAGGGCCAGGTAGCATATTCCTAAAAGATACTCTAGCTCATGTGCATTTCTGTTTCTGTCTGATGGGATGCACAGCCTTTACGTCCTGACAAGAACAAGGGTCTACGGATCACTGTGTGTTTGCAGGCCAGCATACAGAGGGGTGGCCAGACACTTGTAAAGCGCCTTTCACCAGTGCACTGCCAGTTACAAAACACCCACCTTCCGTCAGCCTCCTTCCTTAGAGCAGCGAAGTCTGAAACGAGCATGGTGGGTGCACCCTGGGGGGGAGCCAGAACAGCTACTTTACAGTGCAGAGGTGTGCAGACATCACCTCCCAGTTACGACTTTTTTTTCACCAGAAGCCGGCACAGCTGTTGTCTCCTTTGACAGGATTTTTGCCATGAGCCAGCCACTAAAAGGGTTTCCCTTTTGTTTTGTGTTTTTTTTTTTTTGTTTGTTTTTTTTTTTTTGTTTTTGTTTTGTTTTGTTTTGTTTGTTTGTTTGCTGTTTTTTTTTGTTTGTTTGGTTTTTTTTTGTTTTTTTTTTTTTTGGGAGGGGGGTGTGTGCTGTTTTGGTGGGTTAATATTTGTCCCCGCCAACGCTGGTGCCACCATCCCCCCGCCTTGCCCGGGGAGCACCGCGGCGGCTCCGGGGGGGGACACAGCGCCGGGACCAGCGCCTCTTCCGGCGGAGTCCCCCGCCTCCCCCAACACCCGGGATCGCGGACGTGGGGGGGGGGGGCGATGCCGCGGGCGGGGTGGGTGCGTGCCGATGCGACGCCGCGGGCTGCGGGGGCTCCTCCCCCGGCCCCTCTCCCCGCTCGGGAGCCGGCGGCGGAGCGGGCGCGGGCGGGGCGAGGCGCAGGCGCGGCGCGCGGCGGGCTGCAGCCGGGCCCCCGCGCCGCTGCCGGGAGCCGATGGCAGCTGCACAGCGCGGCCGCCCGGCGGAGCGCGGCGCGGCTCGGCGCCCCCGGCGCGGGATGCGCGGGCGGGCAGGCGGCGGCGGCGGCGGCGGCGGCGGCGGCGGCGGCGGCGGCGGCTGCGGCAGCTCCGGGAGCCGGAGGGACGGGCTGGCCGCCTGACCTGCGTGCCCCCCCTGGCCGCGCCGGGCTGCCCCGAAAAGGATGTCCGCCCAGTCCAAGGGGACCGCATCCTCCTCCTCGTCGCCGTCCGAGGGGCCGCCGGCAGCCTCCAAAGCCAAGGTGAAGGAGCAGATCAAGATCATCGTGGAGGATTTGGAATTAGTCCTGGGGGACCTGAAAGACGTGGCCAAGGAACTTAAGGAGGTGAGAAGCGGAGGGCTGCGCGGGCGGAACCCCGTTCTGCCCCGTGTGTGGGTATGGGGGCGGGGGGAGCAGCGAGCACCCCTCGCCCCCGGGCCGGGGGCCCTGCACCCCCCGGGGCTCCGCGGTCGCCCGCAGGCTCCTTTCACCGCTTCTTCGCCGCGGGTCGAGCAACTGGTGTCCAGGCTGGGCACGGGGCGGCCCCCGGCCCTGCCTCGCTGCGGTGCCCGGCCATCCGGAACGGGACGGGACGGGGCGGCGCGGACGGAGTCCCCGGGTCCCCGTGCCGTGCGCCCCCGGGGCTGGTCGTGCTCCCCGCGGCTGCGAGCCTGCGCTTCCCGGGGGCTTCCCACCTCGGCGCATCCCTCCGAGTTGTTTCTGTTTTTTTTTTTTTTTTTTTTTTTTTTTTTCTTTTGTTTGTTCTTTTGTTTTCTTTCCGGGAGGGCCGGTGCGCCTCTCCTGCGGGGTCCCCGCTGGGTGAGGAGCGTGTTTGGGGTCGCTGCGGGACCCGCAGCCCTGCCCGGTGCTGGGCTGCACCGAGCGGGCATCCCAGCGGTGGGAGAGGCGTCATGAGCGGCTCCGCTCCCGCTCCAGCGGGTTTAAGTTTTCGGCTGCACGATGCAGCCCCACATTCAGCACCGGGCAGCAGCCCGGCCCCGGGTCCCTCGGCCGGTGAGGGCTGGGGGGGTCCCGGGCCCTCCACAATCGACGCCCTGGGCGAAGGGTCCCTGCCCGGCTCGGCAGTGCCGGCGCGGCGAAGTCCGCTTCTGCCTCTGCAGGCTGTTTCATCTGGAGTTAAGCGCCCTGTTTATCTTGCCTATCTGGCAAGACTGCCTGTGCAATCTTCCTTTTGCCGGTGGCGAGTATCATCTGCCCTAGGTTAATCTGCAGGCAGCGTGCGATTACCGCGGGCATGTTCCTAAGGAGGGTTATGCTGTAGCTGAAGGAAGAGTATTTGACTGTCCTTTTGGAGATTTCCTTGTTATCTTCATTTTGCTACACAACTGGTCGACAGATGGTTGGATTAGGCACGGAAATTCAAGTCCAGAATCTCAGTGCATTGCTTTATAATCCCATATTTGACATTTATAACAGGCTGTGGTTCTTCGCTATCAAATATTAGTTTTCTATTTTAACAACATTGTCAACAAGTTTCATTGAACAGACTTTTGCCATCTGAGGCAGTCTGAAATTCACCCAGTGCTTTGTATAATGTTGCAAGATGTATAAACACACGTCTCACTAATCACAGCTGTTAGACTTCTTTCTCACCCACAATTCGGGATTTCTCCTTTTTTAAAAATTGTATCTATAATTTATCGTTTCCTTAATGTGCTGTTGCCTGTGCTTTGTAATTTTTTGAGGCATTTTGAAGTGGAAATAAGCACTGTTTGTAGGGCAGTTCTTTCAACATTTTGAAAACTGGTACAGCAAACTGGCTTCTGTTGCTTTTGAAGCACATTTTCAGGACCTGGAGAGGATGTACTATGATCTGTCCCATGAACATAAATCATTCTCTGCACATAATCAGTCCTAGCTTTCCTTTAGTGAGCAAACAAGATCACTGTAGGTAGAGGTCCTATGTCATCGTTCACTGTGGCATGTTTTATCTAAGAAAACTTGTCTGTTCCAGTTGACTGCATCTGTGAAAGAGAACTGGATTTACCTCTGCTTGAAGGGGGAATGGCTTTTGTGGACCTCCTTTTCCCAAGTAGGGTGAAATGTAAAAGGCAAGTTGTAGAGAAATGGTGCTGTAACTAAATAAAGTCCTATATACCTGTTGAAGACTGGAAGGGTTGCCAAGGGCATGTTTTGAGAAAGTAGAGGTATTCTTACGAAGGGAATAGTTATATCTTGTTTGCAACCACACATGAGCTTTCGAGTAATGCTCTTCTCTAAATATGTCCTACAGAGATGATAGCTGCAATACTCTGACAAAGAAGGGTGCATATACAATTACCTGCTTGCATCCAATGTTACCATCATGTGCTAAATACACTTTGTATGGCATTTATTTTGAAAAGTCCACAGAAGTTTGCTGAGTACCTCCAATTGCCTGCCTTTTGTAGTGTGGACTAAAGCTGTAGAAGGTCTCTTGATGCATCTGCAGTGTATATCATTTTATGTCAAAGTGAGTTAATTGATGGTATTATAAGCTAATAATCAGTTTCATTTATAGGAATGTAGGAAGTTGGTCTATAGTCAGTTTTGAAGTATTACAGGATTACACCCGTACTTCATTTGTGGTTCCTTACTGTAGGACCAGGCAAAATGATAAACTAGAGGATGTAAGTTCACACTTTCCATTTTCACTACAGATTGGGTTCTTCTGGAAATGTTTTGTCTGCCTTTTTTTATTTTTTTTTTTTTTTTCCACTGGGTGTTTTCTGCAGTGCTGTTGTGCTACAACCTCTTCTGTTAATTCCTTTTTCTTTTTTTAATTAAGAATCTAGTATTCTGAAAACAGCCTTTCATTCTTTTTATTACAGTTACACTAAAAAGAATTAAATTCTGCTACAGTGGTAGGGCATGAGGGCTTTTTTTGGTGCAGTTACAGTAATACTTAGTTGTGATACTGAAAATACGGCATTTGTAGAACACTTACTTTTTTTCCTTTTTATGTCTACTAGTTTGTTACGCTTAAATATAAATTATTTAATTATTTATTAGACTATACGTAATGTAACACTTCAGGTATTGGGATAGACTGGATGTCCTCTCCTAGCATCTTTTAGTCTTCTTTTCTAAGATTTCATATTCAAAGTACTGTCAAATTGAGAGATAGTTTCATTGCTTCAAAGTGAACTGCTCTATAACAGTAAGGAATATGGCTGTACAAGACTTACATGTATTGTTACATTTCACTTGCTATAGTTTACTTACATTAATGTATTTACATCTGCCCATTGTTCCAAAGATTTTTCTAGTTTCTAACACTTTTTTGCATTTAAAAGGGGGGAATGGAGGAGCGGGGAGAGGATGGCATGTTAAATCCAGATGCACAAACCATGAAGCTTATAAACTTTCTGTAAAAACACATTACTAAATCTTATGGATAAAAACAAGTACATTTTAGGAGTTACGGTGTCTCAGAAGTGGAACATCTGTCTCTTTTTTTGTCCCTTATTTATTGGTCTGGTCTGCTTAGGCTAAGGTAACCACAAAAGGCTTAAGGATGGAGAAGGGGGGTGACTAGGAGACATGTTAGGACAGAATGGTGCTAAGTCCAGAGTCTGAGCTCATTTATGCTTAGTCCTTTGTAGGGTGCAGTTAATTTAGGAGAGACTTGGCCCCTTTTGTCTCCTTGCTAAAAAGAAACACTGGGTGGGTGTGTACCAATAGTGGGATGTGGTTTTTGTGTTGGAAGAAATGAATGGATTTAAATTGTACTGTGTGCCTGTTATTTGACGAATATTCCAAAGAAAAATAAAAAGGGTGCCAGAGCATTGAGTAACACCAACTATTCCTTCAGTCCATGCTATTTTGAAATTAAGCTGGTGAAGCCTTAAACTTTAATTCTCCTCCAGAGGATTGGCTAAAAGACCTTTTTCTCTGAAATCTGTATAGGAAGATGTTTGTTATTAAGTCTTGCTTTGCAGATGATATATTTCTGTTTGGTACCTAAATAATGAGCTGATGAACACTACTGGAAACCAGAAGACATGTGCTAATTAAACTATCTTGAATGTAAAATGCATGATGGAGCCCGCATTCTCTGATGTCTTCAGAAGAGGTTGTAGGGTGCATGCACACCTGTGGACAGCAGAGCAGAGAGTTCTGTATTATTTCAACACTGCTACTAGAATTTTTAAGACTTCCCCACTTTCACATTTTATAATGATGTTGTACATTTCTGTAGCCTTGCACTTGTTTACATTAAGGAAATACTTAACTAAATCATTTGATAAATACTTTTTGTAGTAATAAAAATTCATCATGCAGAACAAATTCCTGGAAGTTATGTGTGAAATATTTGCATAGCTTTTAATTGACTAAAGACGCTTCAACCTTTTATCGAAAGGAAGCAGCTGTGTAGCTATTGCCAACGTTTAGAATAATCCAAAATGGAGGTGCAGGAGAAACAGAAGCCCTCATTGACATTGCACATGCATCAGTAAATTTCTAGTCTTTTCGAGTCTACCTCCTCTGCTTTAAATCCTCCAAAAATGTCTGACTGACAGGAGGAGTGAATAATCCTCCCTCATCTAGCTAATACGTTTATTTTCCATAAAGTTGTGGTATATAAAATTTGGGCATGATTTAACAAATAATGTTTTCTAAGTGGTGATGGAACTAGCAGATGCCAACCCCTCTCCCTCCAAACACCACAACAGAGTTTGCTGTGGGGTAGATGACCTGATTCCATAACCAGGCCAGTCATCATTCTTTTAAGTGGAGGGTGGTCATGTATTCCATGGTCTTCATTTCTGGATCAGGCCTGTAGGAGTGCATTACAATTTCAACACCAATGTTTTCCATTCAATTTTTTTTTTTTTTTTTTTTTTTTTTTTGTTTTTATGTTCAGTGAACAATCCAGATGGCAGGAAGGCACTTCAGGTTCTTGCCTGTTAATCCAGAAACTAGGAAGCTGCAGTTTGTATCCACCCAAGAGGATTAGAGCAGCAACAATCAGTCATGTATCAGTATCTCTGATGTTCAGGCAGCAATACAAACACCAATTCAAAAAATGTTTTAGGTTCATATTGCTGCATGAAGGTGAGAGGGGCAGGTATTACAGCGTAGGTATAAAATATAATGTATAGTATATTTTCTAAATATACTTTATAAATATACTGTATTTTATAAAATATACAATATAGTATATTTAAGGGTAGGTGGAACAATAGCAAAACATTTTAATCCATTCCTCCTTCTCCTGCTGATCCCTGCCTCTTCTCCTTTTTGGGCTCTTTCCAGATTTCAGGGACCTTCTGCTCTTTTTGCCAGGTATTGTCAGTTGAAGGGAGAAGTTTTTGAGTACACTTGTTCCTCCTATTAGAAGT